ACGATTTCCCCCGCCATCTCTAAAAATCCCCCCCCCTTCTTCCCCAATTTCTAGATCTTCAATCTCTCTTTTACAGTCCCCATCATGATCTCGGTCATGAACGAATTCGAGATCGATCGAAACCCTAACTCAGCTCCCGACCTCTCCTTCTTGGGCATGGAATCGCCCAAAGACGAGGCAGAAATGGATCCGATCGAGCCTGAGATCCCTCCATCCCTCGATCTCGAGGGATCTAGGGTTAGGGTTTCTGATCCAAACGAAGAAGCCCCTTTCGAGATGAATGGGCTAGTGATCGGCGACATGGTCTGGGGCAAGGTGAAGTCTCATCCGTGGTGGCCTGGCCACCTGTACAACGAGGCCTTTGCCTCGCCTTCGGTTCGGAGTGCGAAGAGGGATGGTTTGGTTTTAGTTGCTTTCTTTGGCGACAACAGCTATGGGTGGTTCAATCCGGCCGAGTTGATCCCCTACGAGCCGAACTTCTTGGAGAAATCGAAGCAAACGCTGTTGAGGAGCTTCGTCAATGCCGTGGAGGAGTCGATCGATGAAGCGGGCAGAAGGGCTGCTCTCTGTCTTTCTTGCAGGTGCGAGAACCCTTACAATTTCAGGCCAACGAGAGTTCCGAACTACTTCAAAGTCGATGTTGTTGGGTACGAGCGAAATGCGGTTTACTCGAGGAGGCAGATCGATAAGGAAAGGAGTTCCTTTGTGCCGAAGGATGCGGTTGGTTTCTTACGCGAGCTGGCTTTGATGCCGAGAGGAGACAAGGTTAAGGACGTGGAGTGGCATCGGAAGTTGGCCGTGTGGCTCGCGGTGAGGAGGCATAGGTTTGAGGAATTCGACGAGACCTACGCGCAAGCGTTTGGGCAGCAGCCGGTGCGGCCAGTGAGGAACGAGATGGGGGTGCTGGAGCAATCTGAGAGTTTTGCTCCTCGAGGTATAAATGCTTTAACGCCAGTGTTAGAGGTTTATAATTTGTATTATAACAGCTCTGATTGCATGATTTTTGTGACTGGTTTATGTTTATGCCATCATTTGACATGCCTAGGTAGCTGTGCTCAATTATTAGTGTATTTGTTGCCTGTGAATTATGCAATGTTTGCGGGAGGGCTTTCTCAAACAATCTTGCAATGGTATAGGTATGAAAAATTATCTTTTCTTGTTTGAGGAGAGCTTTTTGCCGGTGTAGAGTCACGGATAACCTTGGTGCGTACCTTCGAGTATCATTGGTCTAGGAATTGAGCTATTTCTGTACCTCATAAGTAATATTAGACTGGCTCAAAGGGAAGATTATGCCAAAAGCATCCTTAGTTTTCGTTTTAACCTCCGGTTGAACTACCCGAATCCGCATGCTAGTATTTTCCACTGCTAATTTCATCTATATGTTCAACATTCTTAATTTTGTTATAGTTCACATCATTCAGCGCCTTTGCATTTTCCCCCCCTCTCTTTGTTTTGATCTCTCTCATTTTATGTTTCTATCAAGTTGATAAATGAATTGTAATCCACCACATATTCGTATCTGGTAGATTAATTTCTAGCATGTATTCATCTTCTGATGTACAGAATGATTCATGTACTTGTCGGTTCATGAGTGAACCCCCCCCTGGAGGCAAGGAATGTTTGCAGGACGCAAAGTACATAAATTACCCTACCGAGGCATTAAATATTATAAAATTATTGTTGCAAACTTGCTTGTTATTTGAAGTAAACTAACCATTTTTAATTTGCATCCTGCAAAGCAGAGATTATTGTTTTGCTCAACCCCTTCTAACATGGCTAATCATCTTTATCTTGATTCTTGAAAGATTCTTAAGTGCGAGAAAACAGAAACTAATGAAGCGGACATATCTGCACCCATTATACTTCTCCTGTAAACTAGAGGATTTTGATTATTTTATCATTATTAAGGTTCATGCTCATCTTTATTCCAAATTGGTTGGTTCCATTGGCATTATCTACTTTTTAATTTTTATCACATGATTTCTCAAAAGCGTACAAAAGGAAACAGAATTTGCTATTTTGCTGGCTGTCTGCATGTAGATTTTTAAACCCTTGACCTTTTGTCAGTACCGCATGGTTTTTCATGCAAAAATTTTCATTACAAATGTCTACATTGTAAGAATTAAGCAACTGCAAAATAACGGATTTCATGGTTTTTGTTTAAAAAATACGCACAACTTCAGCAGATAAGTTGAAGTCATGACCTGATATGACCATAAGCATCTTTAGTTCCCATATCATATGAAATATTTCAAGATAATGCCAGATTCCATCGTTTAATGATATGAGCGGACATAGTCTATTCTAAGATTGTTAGGCCAGTCTCGGGTTTTAGATGCTAGAGGAACTTCCAGTGGGTAAAAACATCAGGGGTAGGCGTTTGCTTGGTAGGTTTTGATGTGGAAAGGGAAGTAGAATGCGTAACATGGTATTTGTTTCGATAAAATGCGGATCTAGCCGCCTGAATAAATATATAAAGTATTGTGCTAGAAATTTCCATGCCTAGGTTGTAGGTTTGTGCAAAGGCTTGATGTAATGGCGTTCAAGTTTTTGTACTCTCTCCAGATGTTCTTCAGTTTTCAGGAGACAATTTACACGAGACACTGCTAATTTGTCCTATACATGACATATGTTTATCTACTGTTTTTTTTAACATTGTATATTGCATGAAGAATTCATAAGAAACATACACGTATCTCCATCTGTCTCTTTTTTGTATGCTTTTGGAGATACTATTCCAGTGAGATTGGATGATGAGATACATGAGCTGGTACTTATTTTATTATTTAAACCGTGGTTCCTTGCTATTTAATGGTTTAAGAAAGAGGCGTGGGTAAAAAAATAAAAAATAAAATGGTTTAAGAAAGAGGTGTGTAAAAATAATAATAATAATAATAATAATAATAATAATAATAACTGCTAGCTCAATGTAATTATGAAGTTCCCAATAAAACCCTATCCCTAATCCACGTAAGAAAATTCTTCCCTAAACCGTTCCTGTACTTTTAATTTTGGTCAATACCAATTTGAATTTGTGGTAATTTGCAATGTAAATAAAGGTTAAACAAAAAGGGGTGGTTTAAAGGGTTTCTGTTTAGATCTACCCTCTCTATCTTTTGGTCCTTGTCTGTTGGTGACGAATGAGTGTTTTTTTCTTCTAATAATGCCCCCCCCAGAAGATGTCTAATTTGAAACAAGCCCCTCAATAGATAAAACTATAAAATTGAGTCATTTATAAATTAAGGGTGGGCAAAACGGTGTTGAGCTATGCTACTATTAGTAACATCCAGCATGTGGATATTCAAACTTAGAATTTTATATCTCAAAAGTGAAAATCCAAATTATAAGATAAGTTAGCTGGAGAAATTAAAATTTCGAAGGATCCTGATCCATTTGCTATCATGTACGAAGGTGCAAAAAATTAATTAGCTTGAAGAAAATTCTGAAATGTTAATTTTGATAGCACATGTTATGTAGGTAGTGTATATTGGAATCTTTTAAAATTTTATTTCTGGGTGGTTGATATATAATACATTCCTTTCAACAATTTGGATTTTCAATTTAAGAATATCAAGTTTAAAGTAATTTGGCAAAGGAGTAAACCTTATAAATTTTGACCACATCGAACCAAACCGTCACTCGATTTGGAATCAAAGCATACTTCTGTTCGTTTCAGTCTAATCAGTTTATGTTTGGGTGCTCTTAGGAAGAAAATGAGTTATTTTGGTTCAAAAAATGATGTTAATCAAAGAATTAATGGAAGACACAAGATAAAAGATTGACAAAACAATGATGCAAATAACTTGAAATAATAAAATTGAAGGAAAAGAAAGGATGGAAAATTGTAGATATATAAGAAAGAAACAAAATGTGGTAGGGAATTAAGAGAACAATCAGTGTGGTCAGTTGTGGTCAAATTAGAATTCTGAACTTGAGCATATTTGTTGAAATTTGATTGATTAAGTCAATTTAATTGGTTGAGATCGATCAGTATTCACCCTTATTTTAAATCCTTTATATGACACCAAATATGCCCCTAAAGCTAAAATAACCTAAGATGGAAATTAGTGTAGATACATAAGCTTACCTCCAAATCAAATAGATGGGCTATTGGGTTGAATTTGTAAAAACACATGCTTACCTTCTCTTTCTACATAGGGTTGTATCAAACATTCCATATCAATATATATAGTATAAATATATATATATATATATATATATCTATATATATATATAATATATATATTATATATATATATATGAAAATTGTATCGCCTGGTACAAGCCACAAAAAGTTGTGGGCTTGGTAGTGAGAGTGACATATCCTCTCTACTCATTCAAGATGGTTGCATATTCACATGTATTTCTCCACTTCATCGAATGTGGGTCCCTCATTTGAATGAATACGAGGGGATTGTGACATTCACTAAAAAACACAAATTTTTGTGTTTGGCTACGCAAGCATACCCATATTTCTCTCTCTTTCTCGCTCTCTCTCGTCTCTCAGGTCTCTCTCTCCTCTGCTCTATATATATATTATATATATATATATATATATATATATATATATATATTATATATATATATATTATATATATATATATTATATATATATATATATAATATATATATATATATATTAGTGTATGATACATAAGCTTACCTCCAAATCAAATAAATGGGCTATTGGTAATATATATATTATATATGATAATATATTAGTGTAGATACATAAGCTTACCTCCAATCAATAGATGGCTATTGGTGATACTATATTATGTAGATACATAAGCTTAACCTCCAAATCAAATAGATGGCTATTCGGTATATAATATTAGTGTAGATACTAAGCTTATCTCCAAACAAATAGATTGGCTATATATATAAACCTCTAAAAAGAAAGAAAAAAAACTGAAAACACCTGCCCATCCCCCCCCCCCCCCCAACTGCAAGATCCAATCTGCAGGTCTGATACCAGCACCTTAAACCTGAATCGTCGCAACCTATGTAGAAGACATGTGATGAAAGGTTTCGATAATCATTATTTACCTTTAGGTTATTTTAGCTTTAGGGGCATATTTGGTGCCATATAAATGATTTAAAATAAGGGTGAATGTTGATCGATCTGAACCAATCAAATTGACTTAATTAATCAAATTTCAACGGATATGCTCGAGTTTAGAATTTTAATTTGATCTCAAATGACCACGTTGATTGTTCTTTTAATTCCCTACCACATTTTGTTTCTTTCTTATATCTACAATTTTTCATCCTTTGTTTTCCTTTAATTCTATTATTTCAACTTATTTGCATCATTCTTTTGTCAATCTTTTATCTTGTGTCTTCCATTGATTCTTTGATTAACATCATTTTTCGAACCAAAATAGCCCATTTTCTTCCTAAGAGCACCCAAACCTAAAGTGATTAGACCGAAACGAACAGAAGTCTGCTTTGATTCCAAATCTAGTGACGATTTGGTTCGATGTGGTCAAAATTTATCAAGGTTTACTCTTTTGCCAAATTACTTTAAACTTTATATTCTTAAATTGAAAATCCAAATAGTTGAAAGTAATGTATTATATATCAACCATCCAGAAATAAAAGTTTAAAAGATTCTAATATACACTACCTACATAACATATGCTATCAAAATTAACATTTCAAAATTTTCTTCAGTTGATTAATTTTTTGCACCTTCATACATGATATGAAATGGATCAGGATCCTTCGAAATTTTAATTTCTCCAGCTAACTTATCTTATAATTTGGATTTTCACTTTTGAAATACAAAATTCTAAGTTTGAATATCCACATGCTGGATGCTACTAATAGTAGTATAGCTCAACACTGTTTTGCTCACCCTAAATTTATAAATGCTTTAATTTATAGTTTTATATATTTGATTTGGAGGTAAGAATTGGGAAATGTTTGCTGAGTTGACTGAAACGAAGATAGAAAGTGTAGATCAAGGTTATCAATAGCGGATAGCGATTTAAAGAGATCCTAAACATGAAATAGACATGTAACTATCACGTAATACCGAAGATGACTGGAGGAGTCAAAAAGTCGTCGTCTTCGAGCAGAAGAGCTTAGCGGTGACAGGACTGCCCTAAGAGGAGCTCACGGTGAAGGAGGTGAGAGGAAGTATCAAAGTAGGTGTC